ACACACTGACCAGGAACTGCCCCGTGTGCCCTAACACCCAACACGCCGACCAGGAACAGCCCCACGTGCCCTGACACCCAACGCGCCGCATCTCTGCCTGGGCCAGGCTGTGCGAGACCAGAGCATCTCCTCCCGTTGCTGTATGAACGGGATGCCCACACTGGCCGAGGGGGAATTAATTCCTCAGGAACTGCAGCACGGAGAAGTGCTGAGCTGCTACAAGCAAGGGAGCTGCCACCCTAGGGAATGACTTTAAATAAGCAAAATTGGTAATGAAGCCTGTAATTCCAGACTAACTATCTGGAAGTAAATGGGCTGTGTTGCATTACCCAAGCTCCTAAGAATAGGCCGCTTTTCTATCACTTGTTAATGCACCATGAACAACGTGCCTTCCTTTACTTTGTCCTTCCAGCACCGGCTTTGGGCACGGTGCCTCCCACGTGAGCAGCCCCGGCCCCGCTCACCTTCTGCTCCAGCTCCGTCCTCGAGCCGCGCTCGGCCTCCAGCCGCTCGTCCAGCTGCGCCAGCCGCTTCCGCAGGAAGCCGATCTCCGTCTGCGCGCACTCGAAGCGCACTTGCCACTCGTCCCCTGGGAAGGCAGGGACATGCGGGCTCGGATGGCTGCCTGGCCCGTGCATTCCTGGTGCATCCCTTCCCGTGGTGCTCCTCACCCCAGGCAGTGCTGGAGGAGCGAAACCTTCCTCCTCCACACCTTAGCAGCCTCCTCATCACGTTAGGGCTCAAAATGGGTCTAAGCACCCTGTACATGCCCCTACCTCCGCCGGAGCCGCTCAGCTTCATCTCACGCAGCTGGACCAGCTGCTGGGCTTCTTCCAGCTGCTTCTCCACCAACTCCAGTTTCTTCTGCACTTGGTCGTGTTTGCTCTGGCAGTAAAAGCAAGGAGGAAGGACGCGCCACGTGCCAGGATGCAGGGATGGGCAGCGGGTCCCTGCAGCCCCCGCTGGCCGCGGGCACCCGCCGCACGCTGCAATCAGGGCTAACGAGGCTCCCGCGCTCCTCCGGCTGATTAGCATGAAATTTCATTTGAAACAAAAAGCAAATTAATGGGCAATTGAATTATTAATCCAGAGAATTAATTGCACTTTTTTCAAAGTGGCTGCGACCCCTTGAATCAGGCTGAGTTGGTCCATCCTCATGAGGGATGGCGAGGCTGCAGGACCAGCATCTCTGAATCAGCCCTCACACCTATGAAGCACCCAGAAAAGCAGCTCAAAGCAGGAAGCGTGCAGCCCTGAAATGGCTCTTCTCCCCCATCTGATGCTACCTGTCCAGCTTGGCTGCTCCTGCTGGGATCAGAGCAGGAGTCAGAGCTGGAGCCTCGCACGCCAGGGTGCTAAGAGCAACCTCAGAGAGCTCAGAGCAACCTCGGGGTTCCCGCTGCTGAACAAACCCCTCTCCTCACTTTCCTCCCTGGGATTGTGCCCGAGCCCGGGCACCCACAGTGACCCTGGACACACAGAGCCCTGCCCGAGCCCCCGAGTCCCTTCCGAGGAGCAGCGGGCGGCAGAGCCGCTCGTCCCAAAGCGGAGCCTCCCCGCTGCCCTTCGCTGCCGCCGCTCGCGTGGGGCCACGCGCGACACCGGGGGAAAGGCCGGCTGCCTTCGCTGCAGGCGTCCTCCTCGTTATTAGCATTCATTCTGTTAAACTAAGCCACTTCGGGTGTCTGCAGAGGTCACCAAGATTGTAATGTGGAGAGTGTAATGAGAATATGATATATTTGTATATAATTTCCTATTCTCATTAGAGCCTTTGTCAGGAGAAGGGGCTGCATTTGCGCTGCCATTTCTCAGCCCGCTGACACTGCGGTGAGCCAGGGCAGGGCCGGGCGGCCCTGCTCCCTCCTGCGGCTCCGGAGAGCATGGGCCGGGATGCAGCCGGGAGCACGGCGCTGGGATCGGGGCCGGACAAAGCAGCGGGCAGCTGTGCAGAGTGTCAAAATCCCTAGGGATTCACGGGGACAAACAATGAGGTTATCTCTGGGGGTGTCCCCCAATTTGCCAGGACAAAGGTGCCCACAGGGACTCCAGTCCCAACACACGGACTCGGTTCCTGCAGAAGCAGCCTCCGAACACGGGTGCTGCTGGCAGCTCGGGCCCTGCGGCTCCCTCCTCCTCGCTAATCGCTGCCTCCTCCGCGCGCAATCAGGCGCTGCAGCGCGCGAGCTCGCACCAGGCACGGGCGGCCGCATTAGCGGCCTTAAAAAGCAACAACCGCTGTGCGGCTTGAACGGCGGCGAGCAGCAAACGATGATTGCGCCCCGAGAAACAGCCCTCTCCACCCCGACCGCTGGGCAGAGAGCGGCAAAGAGCTGCCGGCTTCCCACACGGGCACGGTTCACGCCTGCGACCTGGAACAATTAATCACCAGGTAAGGAACCTTCTCTGGTGATTAGAAACAAAACAAAGTGCTCCGGCTGGTGGAGGAGCACTGATGCATGGCCAGGGGCTGAGGTTGCCAGCTCCAGTGCCTCGCTGCTCTGCCGAGGCCGGGGAGAACCGCAGCGCTGGAAATGGTCACAAACTGAAGCACCAAAAGTTCCACAGGAACTTAAGGAAGAATTTTTTAACAGTGAGGGTGCCAGAGCACTGGAACAGGCTGCCCAGAGAGGTTGTGGAGTCTCCTTCTCTGGAGATCTTCAAACCCGCTTGGACGCAGTCCTGTGCCACGTGCTCTAGGTGACCCTGCGTGTGCAGGGGGTTGGACTAGATGATCTCTAGAGGTCCCTTCCAACCTTAAGCATTCTGTGATTCTATGAAACTCAGCTGCAGGCGCGGGCGGTTAGTCCTGCTCGAGTCCTCGCAGCGCTGTCCTCAGCCATCCACACGGGGCTGTTTGCAACGCGCGCCCGGAGGGCCCTGCGCGTGCCCCGGGGCAGCTCCCTGCCCTTACCTTGCTTTCCAGCTTCTCCGTGTTCTGCCTGAGCTCACTGCATGACTGCTCTGATTTTTCTAGCTTTCTTCTTAGTGCTGCCAGCTCCTCCTGGGCAAAATTGCAAGAAAAAGAAAAAGATTTTGAGAGCTCCAATATCCCCAGTTTATTTACGAATACATTGTTTTCTGTTAAAACTAAGTGGGAGAGACATAACTGCCTTATTAAAAGAATTTACCAGGCAGATTTGAAGGCTGCTCGCTGCAAATTGCTAGGACTCTAACTCCTGACATGAATTTTGTTGGAGGGAATGTCAGCTTTGGTGTATGTACACCACATTGCACGAGAGAGAAGCAAAGCTCAGAAGCTTGGGATGAGCATCCAAGCGTCTGAACTTTGCTCATCAAGCGTTCCTCGCGACGCTGGCAGGCTACCGGAGCGGGGCAGAGGCACGTGGGCTTCTGTGGTTTCCTTCAGGCTCCTGGCTGCCGTGCTGGCCCACTTTGATGTGCAAGCACAAGCAGAGGGTGCAGAGAGGTGACAAAAACAGAGGACAAGCGGTGGCGGGGGGGCAAGGCAAATCTTGAGAGGGAAACGCACACTTGGCCAGCTTTTATTTTGTCTGAATCAGGCTAAAAACATCTTGTTAAAACTTCACTAAAGCAAGAGGAGGAGCAGGAAAGCCAGGGAAGATGGGCCAGGAATTTGGCGCAGGTCACACACTGTGAGAAAGGCTGAGAGGTGGCTTTCCAGGCCAGCAAACACCCACTAAAGAGTCTCCTGTCACCGGTTTCAGCTCTGGTAGAAGCAAGCACAACTCCGATGACATTCCAGATCACAGTCCCTTATGTCAAGGATGGACTTGGCTTGCTCATCCCAAAGACTGATGTGGGGGACAGCCAGCAAAGGGCTTGGTGTCCAGAGCCCAAGGGACTGGTGAGTCGGGAGGGCACCAGGACAGCCACATCCCTGGAATGAGGCTGGACTATGGGACACCTGCGACCGCTGCTCCAGGGAGGGAAGGGTGTTATTTCTCCCTTTGTAGCCCTATAGGACATGTTACTCAGGGCAAAAAAATGCAGTGCTAAGAACATGAAGACTTCTGGATAGCCAGAGTAATGCTTCCCTTGGCAGCAGGTACCTCCAACTTGACTAGTCTGCTAAGCAGTGCCCCAAAATCATCCCATCCCATCCCGTCCCATCCCGTCCTGTCCTGTCCCGTCCCATCCCGTCCCGTCCCTGGGTACATACCTCTTTGGCACGGAGCTGATCTTCTGCAACACTGATGCTGAGCAAGGGCCGCACACGGCTCATGAGCTGCCACCAGGGCCAGTGCCGCACAGCCTGGTAGAGCAGCAGGTTCTTCTGGATGCAGCGCACGGCCAGGCGCTGGATCTGCAAGGAGTCGCAGCTCGCAGCGGCACCCAGCCGTGCAGGGAAGGGCCAGGCCGGGCTGCTCGGCCGGTTCCACGGGAAGGGACGTGGGGAGCCGGCAGCGAGCGGAGGGAGCCGCGCGGCATCGGAGGGGACAAGCTGCGCGACACGGGTCACCTGCTCCGCGCGGTGCACGGGGCTCTGTGCCACCGTTCAGAGGTTACAACAAACATCGGTATTCGTGGCCTGAGGGATAGATACCTTTAGCTTCTTGAATTTCTGCCGGCTGAGGAAGCCCTTGCACGCTGCCTGCAGGAGGATCATTTTCGGGGATATCAGCTTGTTGCGTTGCTTCTCCAGTCTGGAGATGACCCCTGCCTTCAGGAAAACCTAGCAGCACATAGGGGCAGTTAGCCACCCTCGAACAGGGTCTGTCACCAGCATCCGTCCAGCCAGGACACCAAACCCACCAGCCTGTCCCCAGCCCCCTCCAGTGTCCTGAGCCACCGTCACGGGGCCAAACACGGCCCTGCAGAGGTGCCAGCTGCCCTGTCCCCCTGGTTTCCTGGGGACTTCAGTGCTGAGCACCCCTGTCTTTTCACTGTGCTCACACTGGCCGTGCCTCTTCTCTCGCCTTCCCTTTCGACACAAGCGTCAACCACTCACAAGAGGTTGTACGTCCTTGAAACGTCCATGGGCCACTGCGTATCTCCTACCCTCTGCAAAGACCACGCTGCTGCCACTGCCCACAAAGGCATTTCCAGCAGCACACATAACAGCAACGGAAAATGGATGTGGTTTACAATGGGAAGAACAAAATTAACCACACCATTTTCTTCATCTGATCTTGCCATAAAGACGCTATAAACAGTAGAGATTGCTAATGCCGTTGAATTTAGCCCACTATCGATCTTTCAGAATGTAAGATGTGTCTCAGGCGCTGCCTGCTGAAGCCCTTGGGATGTGGACCAATCGCTCCCAAATATTGTGCACCATTTGCATAATTCAGTTTTAATAAAAAATAAAGTATGTTTGCGAACCCCGTGGCATACTTAAAGAGCTGCATTTTAAAGATGGCAAATTGAATCAAAGCACAATTCCAGGGAAATTCACTTTCTTGAGATAATGCTATGATTGCTTCGCCACCTATTTGATTGTCTCATTAATGTCTGTATTAACTTCACAAGCCAGTGAGTTTTAGAAGCTAGTACAAAATCAATGCTCAAAGTGATGGCAAAACTAACTCCTATATAACAAGAAGTAGCTGGAGCTGCTATCACACTATTGATTAAGTACAAGAGTTTCATAGAAGAGATAATTGCAAACTGCAGTACACAGGATGAAAGTAAGTTATGCTGCTTCACAGAACTGCTCCATGAATTCCATCTTTATAGACTCCAGGAGCTAAACGCTAGCATGCATACAAAATTAATTTTTCTTTGAGGTTATCAGCTTTAAGTTCATATTTTGTTGCTGTGACAACTATTGCATCCACAACTGCCCATTTCAGCAGCCTTTTAACCCCAATCCATTAAAGACCATGAGTTTCCTAAGCCCCATTTAGTTCAGTGGGAAATCAAAGGTAATTAGGTACTTAAATGCCAGTAGGAGCCGGGTTTCGATGGTTAGGTATGTAGTTTACCCAGGGTAATGCTTTCAAATGGGGCCTGGGAGGTTCCTCCTCAGTTTCCACCAGGCTTTGGTCCATCAGCCAAAGCTCTGCAGCACGGGAGATGCTTCTCCTCGTTTGGGGAAGCCCGGGGTGACCGGCAGGGCCTGGCTGGGGACGACTGTGCTCGTAGGCACCGAGGGCAGCGGAGAAGGGCTCGTTCTTGCCCCGTACCTGGCTGCGTCCCACCGCGATGCTTTTCTTCTCCAGATCGAGCGCCTGGAAGAGCTCCTGAATGGCCTGCAGAGAGGGAGCACATCAAGGCATGACACGGACCGGCCGCTCGCACCGCCCCGGGCCCAGAGCAAACTTGAGAAATTCCGAAATAAATATTTTTTTCCCTCAATTTTTCATTTAATTTGGCAGCGTGAGCAATAAGATCATCCCTATAGCCAATACAGACCAACCAAAACACCCCCCAGTCCTCCCAGCTCCGGCCTGATTTCCAGCCACAGTAACTGCAGCCCGTCTGCACATGGCAGTGATCCTTGATGGAGAAGCCCCGGATCTGCCCAGGGTCCCGCACCTGAACGGAGCTTTCATTAAACTTAGCTCTTTCTCAGGCTTGCAATGAAACCGCCGTCCATGTGCACTTCTCCAGTCTGGGATTTATTACAAAAATATCACTGAGAACCCTTAAAAGATATTGGTAGATCTCCTGAGACATGCTACTAAACAAAATATTAGCCCAGCAGCTACTATTTTTCTCTAAAAATGTGTTACATTGACAAGTACACTCCACTACTTCATACATTCCCAAGATACTTGTTTACTAAGGGTGGGAAAAAAAGACACAATTCAGTTTCCAGCAAGCTGTTGTAGACGATTTTACCAAATCAGAGATTTTTAGAGCACAAAATGAAAACAAATGGCCGTTTGCATCTGTGACTTCCCGCGCTGGGAGCCTGGCGCACGGAGGAGCCTCCAAACCAGCTTCTCAGCCATGAGCACTGGTTGGAAAGGGCTTTTGCTGAGGTGGCTTTGGAGGGACGGGGATGGGGACATGCGGGTGCAGGAGAGGGAGATGCTCCCGGCGTGTGTCCCAGGGTGCTGCCGGGCCATCCTGAGCCTGCATCCCCTCTGCTCAGGGAACCGTGCGACAACGAGCTCCAGGGAGCATGGGATTTTCCAAATCTCCTGCTTACACACCGCTAACAGGGCCCTCCCTGCCGTCTTACAGCGTTTAATAACAATATTGACCTTTTCCAACTGTCAGACTTGTCTTATTATATCCCGAGGTCTTAACTGCGTTTGCGCACGCTGGCTGGTGGTTTGCACCACGGCACACATGGCCGTGTTTAATCCATCTCCTCCTGGCTCTGCCCACCCCAACACTTAGCAGCTTCTGCACTGCCCATTTATCCAGAAACAAACAGAACCACCAAGAGCTAAAAGCTTCTACCTCGTTTCTGAGCTCTGTCAATCTGGAGGGTCAGCACGAGGCAAGGAGACACCTCGGAGCCCTGAGGATGCTCCATGGGAAGTACCAGAGATCCCATCTTGGATGGGGCGAGGGACGGGCAAGGCAAAGGGAGCTCATGGGCACAGTGTGTGCAGCCCTGCCCTGCAACACCAGCCCCATGAGGCTGGCAGCACCGGAGAGCTCTGGCGTCTGCCTGCTCCAAGCAAGAAGGAATTTCAAAACCGTTTACTTTTGAGTATTTAAAAAAATAGCAGGCTTCATTTCCAGGTTGATTTCTCCAAGTCCTCTCCATGGTGCAGTGATGCCAGCAAACACACTACACGAGCAGCAGCCCAGTCCTGAGGGGCACTGAAAGCTTTGCTGCTATTCCGGGAATGGCCCTGCAGCAGTCGGTATCCCTGCCAGGCCCAGTGGGTCAGCCTGCACCTCCCTGCACACGCTGCTCCTCCATCACTCCTAGTTCCTGAAGACGGTTCTGCACCAGGAACCCCCTGGACCTGCAGTCCCACTGTCCCCACGCAGCTCTATGGGCTGGTACCCTCGTGCACAGCTGTCCAGCTGTGCAGCCCCACAGCTATGGGTGAGCTCTGTGCAAGGGAGCATTGCCCGTGGCTGCCGGGAGGCTCTGGAGGCTCCCAGACCCACAGGCAGCAGCTCTGTGGTCCCTGAACATGTCAGGATCAACACGGACCTTGTTTCACCCCTGGCACCAAACAAACAGGCAGGGCTGGAGGCGGGAAGAGGCTCCACTAGCAGTGCAGGGACAGGACGGCCAGTGCCACACGCACAGGTAACACGACTGCCCGAGCAGGGCTGCGTGTCACAAGGGAGCTCCAGTAATTGCTCCCAATTGCACAGCCTGGATCGCTCCCCGCACGCGGAGGGAACGTTTCCGGGGGTCGTGCGGACGCCAGGTCCCGCCGGCCCGTCCCTTCCCGGGACGGAAGGCGCGTGCGCAGGCTCACCCGCGCGGTGGAGGCGCACGGCGTCCAGCAGCTGCGCCCCCTCCAGCTGCGCGCGCAGCACCGGCACGTCCAGCCGCAGCTCCTCCTCGGGCGCCGCGGCTCCGTCCCGCGGCACCAGGCAGTGGATGAAGTGCAGCTGGGATCTCTTGAGCAGGTTTATGAGCGCGTCCTGCCGGATAACGGAGATCGGCAAAGGCGTCAGGGCTGGAGGGAGTGGGGTCGCATGCGGGGGTGGATGGGGGAATGGGGAACACAGGGGTTGCGCATGGGGGCAGAGGGGCCAGCGCTCTCTGCCCAGCTGGGGGTTTAATAGGCAAAAAGGAGCAATTCTCAGAGCACTAGAAATACATCTGCATAACCAGGAATAGCAGCTTGTGCTGCAGGTGTGGGACTAAGAGGCAAGTCACAGATGCCAAGCAGAACCTTTCTTTACATTGTCAGGAAAATCAGTTAGAAAAAGGCAACAAGTGGGTGTATTCTTGCAAGGGCTTAGGGCTACAGAGCAGGGGAGATGCAGGGCCCGGAGGAGGCCTGGCAGACCAGTCTGCAGAGATTACAGCTTGTCCTCAGAAGAGGACTCAGGCGTCTCATTACCACTAATGCCAGCAGGAGCCTGGCACACAACTCGCACGGCGGGCGCTCCGCGGCATCGCGCCCCGTGCAGCCAGGCACGTGCTTGGGGCGCTCACCGCCTGCAGCCTGAGCTGGGCACACACGGATTTCCTCTTCACGGCAGCAAAGCTGTTGGAGAAGGTCTTCCTGACGCAGCCGATGCGCTGCAGGGCCGCCTGGGAATATCCCTCCAGGCCTGTGACGGAGCGACAAGCCAGGGGCGCTCTGGACCGGGGCAGGAACAGATCCCTCAGCGCGTTCCTGTCGGGAGCGAAGTAGAGAGACAAGGGGGACAGAGCTGCAGCTGCCGGGGCCTGGGAAACCCTCTTGGCAATGAGGTTAACAGTCCTCTGAAGGGGAAGCGAAAGAGTCCTGTGTATCCTGGCACTCCCTGCAAGGCCAGCCCAGACCCACCAGCACCAAGAGCCCGCAGGGGGCAGGAGCAGAGGGTGCAGAGGCACCTTTCCCTTTGCCGCTTACCCCTGCCCTGGGCACCGAGCTGTTCATGGTTATTAAAACTTCCCGGAACTGAAGCCCAAACAAAATGAGCTGAAAGTTGTTAAACAGAAGGTTAAATTTATGGTGAACATGAAGATGCCGATAGCGGCTTGATTGCATTTCAACTCCAATTTAGCCTGCAAGGTTTCCAGCAGTGCGAGCACGAGCGGTCGCTCGGGGAAGCTGCCCTTGGTGGGCAGCATCTCGCTGCTGGACACGGCCACGCGCCGACCCGACCGCCCTGCCCCGACGCAGGACGGAGCCTGCAGGGCCCCTGCTCACCCTGGCGCCCGGTGCAACCTGCTCCAGCGCAGGGAGAGGCAATGGGAGCAGCGGGATGCCGAGCTCCTGGCCAGCGCCGCACTGGTTATTCCCCTTGCTCGCCAGCAAGGCGAGCGTCACCGGTGCTGCGGGGAGCGAGACCCTGGGCAGCGCAACCCTAACAACACCCCTGAGCCTCGGTGTGCACTTTAAACACCCCTATGCCCTGCCCTCTTACTTACACCTTGGACTGCTGCAGGACCTTGATGGCATTTTGCGCAGACAAGTTGAGTTTGGCTTTGCTGACCCAGCCGGTGAGGTCGTAGCGGACGGGGTCTGTGCCCAGCTGGTGGAGGATCTCGAAGTGCAGCTCCTGCTCGCACTTGCGCACGTAGCGATCCTCTGCAAGAGCAACACAGCAGCAACGGGAGCTTATGGGGCAGTAGCTGTGGGGCTGCATGTGCAGGGAGGTCTGCAGCGGTTGCATGAAAAGGGTTTTCCTGGGCTCGGTCCTCCTGGCCCTGCAAGGCAGCCAGAAAGCCCAGAGAGCTGCCGAGCTGCCCCACGTGTCCCTTACCCTCCAAGTCAGCTCCTGTCTTGGCAAAGTAGGAGCAGAAGCGGTCGAAGGCAGCACTGTCCCCAGAGCCTTGAACCAGCGCCTCCTCGTCCAGGATCCACAGCAGCCCCCGGGGCCCGGCCGCTGGGCTACCAGGCAGAGCCTGTGGCTAGTGAAGGAAAAGCTGCTCA